TGCTATTGTGTTACCTGTACCAGCCTAGCCTGAATGTGCCATTCACATGACAAGGTTCTTACTTAATGGCTGAAAAATAAACCTTAGAGGGATTCTCTGGAGAATAACATTGTCTATGGTGTGTTACTATTACTTTTACAATGACTCCCAAGAAGCTATAAAGAGGAGTTTAGAAAGGACCAACATTGAGGTTTCTGGTATTAAAATCCCATCTAAAAACAGAAAACCAGAGCTCACCAGTCCAGCTCTGGGAGTTTGGCTGATAGCAGCTTTAGAGGACTCCGTTTCTCCCCAGCAGGATGGCTCAGGGCGCTGAAGAGCTTCTGTGCGTTGCAGTGTCTGCAATATCAGAAGCTCACAGATTAAAATCCTATCTCCCTACAGCACACATACTTTACCCAACTTGCGCTCCTGGTGCTTTCAAGCCAGAGACCCGTGACAGCATGAACTCTTCCAAACGAAGCATCTCACTGACTTAAACAAACTGTGGCGTTAATACATGTCGACTTTGGGCTAATTATTTCCAGAGTACAGGTTATTTCCTTTGCCCCGCTCTGGCAGCCTGGCGTGGTGAGTGGTCATGGTTGAGACCCGGCATAGTGCCAGTTGAGCTGGTGTGCCCACACGGGAAGGTTGGCCTGAAACCCCTTGGCAACACTATGGGTTTCTGATTCTTGGTTGATTTCATCTCTCCTGCCTTCTACTTCCCCAAGGGCACTGGCTACCTGCAAACTGGTAGCGCTGAAATGACTGTGTGGGCCCTTTTAGAAGCCAAGACCCCTGTGTTACATAACACAGGTCATCCTGCAGGGACAGCACACACACAAAGCTTAGGGAAACAAACATAAACACTGGAGGCAGCCACTTACAATCTCCTTTGTTCCACAGATAATCCATCTTCCTGGACCACTTTTAAAGAGAGCCCTGACTTAGCCTGCTGTTGCCAGGGGGAGAAGACCTAAACAAAACAGAATTGGAGCAAAGAACACTTTAAAGCCAATAACAGGATATGGAACCCACATGGGGATTTGATGGTTGTTGAAAGGCTAGACTGTCAGTGCAGAGAAAAACCATTGTTAACAAACAAATTTGCTTCAAAAATAGGGGTTAGGAGCAATTGTGTTCTGCATTTTTCAAAACCAGCATTTCTTTCTGGGCTCTTCTCCTCAGGGATCCTGCTCCTTCAGAGGTCAGGAGACACAGAGGATAGTGTCAGATAACAATGTTTTGGCAACAGGGGAATTTTCTACCCTGGTGTGATAGGGCTAAACAGACAGAAATGGTTCAAACAGCACCTGCCAGCAGGGGAATGGCTGAAAAGAATCTAAAGGGCTGTTCTCTAGGCTACCAGATTGAAAGGACAACCACAAGGATGTAGGAAGGACCACCAGGCAGTAAGGAGGGGAAGACAAAGACTGGGCTGAGAAGCCACTCTGCAGCCAAGGGCAGCTCTTGTCTCCTCCACTGTCCTGAGGGAGGGGCACTGTCCCCTCACAAGCAGCTGTAATCACACCTTTCCAAGCATCTCCACTAGTCACCTGGCTGCCTACCCTTTTAGGTTTGGCTACTGCTTGGTCTCTAAGGGTTGTGTAATTTTTGGTAAGCTCCCTCACTCATGCAAAACTGTGCTGAGTGCCTATGAAGTACAGCCTGCCAGGTGGAACCACCCATGAGCACAGGTGTGAACCACAGGGAAGGACAGACCGCACAGGGTGGGGTGGAGAGCTCTGCTCCAGTGGTTAGGGCCCAACAATTCAATAAAGCAACTAGAAGGGAAGTGAGTCTAATTAGGATTTAAAGGGGACAAAGGAGAATTTTCTTAGAAGTTAAAAAGCCTTTTGTTCAGTTCCTTTAGGCTCTCACCCCTCCCTGACAAGAGCACAATTCTAGGACCTGAAGGGGTTAGAAGCAGCTACCCGCCCCCAACAACCCCCTCAACTCTGCCTCTCATCACCTCACTGTTAGCCCCGAGACACTGCCTCACCATCTAAATTGCTAGGGAAAAAAAGTGGTAGTTGTTTTGCTGAAAAATGACTGATGTTACCTCTGAGTAAAATGTTTGGTATATCTTTGATCTGGGGAAAAGGGCAATCATCAGAAAATTGCTTGATCCATGGAAATGAATTGGAAGATGAGGCAGCAGTGAGCTTCTGAAGTCTATCAGAAGGGCAGCAACAACACTGGTGGAGTCCTAAAGAGAAAGAGAGGGAGCATCAGTGAGAAAAGCCATTTACACGATATCAGCCCTCACAACTTGAGCACACAACTATTTTTACAGGATGTGGTTTTCTGGGGTTCAGCAGTAGAATATATTTTCTAATACCCAGTTATAGGAAACACAGAAGTACAAAGGTCTTTTCTACTAAATGGAAAATGTCACCTTAAAATTCTTCCTAGGGCAATAAAATTCAATTTATGTGCAGATTCAGTCAACAATGTTGAGGATACTCTTTAGCCTTCCAGGTTATTCATTCATTCAACTGATACTTACTAAGTGCCTATTACATGGCAGGCATTGTGCTAGAATCAAAGCAGTCACAGTTACTAGCCTATGCAGTAACTAATCTGTTCAGTAATAAATGGAGGTTACAAATTTCTTTCTTCCTTCTTTTCATTCATTCATTCAACAAATATTTATTCAACATAGTGCTTCCTATGCGCTGTTTTAGAAGCTCAGGGTTCAGCACTGACCAAAACAGATAAAGATCCCCGTCTTTTTGGGAGTGGTAGTGAGTGGGAAGGGGGCAAAGACAATAATAAATATACATAATGAATAACTGAATTATATAGTATGTTAGAAGGTGGTAAGCACTATGGAAAGAAGGAGAACATAGATCAGTAAAAGGGAAAATGGAAGTATTGGGGAGTGGGCAGGTTATAGTGTTAAATAGGTGGTCAAGGTAGGCCTTTTTGAAAAAGGGAGAACTGAGCAAAGACTTGAAATCATGGCCGCCAAGTCGCAGGTAAGAAAAAATCTTTGTATTTTGATGGGATAACCATTATCTGTCTTTCCACGAAAAAAGGGAATTTAGAATTCAATTTTCATCTCTAACCCCTGAATTAGTATTAAATCGATAATAAGCAAAAAGAAGGTGAAAGAGAGAAAAGTGTGTTTGTATGTGCTCTTGTGTAGACATATGTATGTGTAGTGGAAGAGATGAAACTGACCTCAGAGCTCATCTGAAATGATGGTCTTGAAGCTTTCCAGCCCTGGGTCTTCGAACACAAGCTAAAGGCAAGCTCGGCTCTCAGGCTCGGCTCTCAGGGTACTGAGCTCCCAGAGCAGGGCAGTGGGCCAAACGTGCTGCTACTCTGTCTGGATGGGATTCTGGAGTGCCCCTTAGGACTAGTTTTCCACTTCCCTGTTAGTGTCATGAACTTTAGTGGCCTGAGGAAAATCAGCCACTAACAGAATGGGAAGAACAGATTACCCTTCTCACTGCAGTGTGGGATAAATTCCAGTAACTCCCTTTACCTAAATCCCAGGTGGAGCAGACTTCTGGTTCAGAGGGAGCAGTGTCAGCATCCTCAGGGGCAAAGACACTCCTTCCTCTCACCCTTCCCCTGGTAGAGTCTGCTTCCTGCCCCCTGAACCCCTCCAGGCAGTCACTCCACTCCCAGCTCCCGAGAGGCTGGTGAAGAGGATGGAGCAGTAGAGAAAAGCTGGTACTTATAGTTCCTGTCTGGAGCTCATCCCGATGTCCCCACCAGTCAGTACTCCTCTAATGCTCAATGGAGGGAAACAGTACTCAGAGAGAACTATCTGAAGGTAACACTGGCCGGCCACTATTCCAGATATTAGAAAAAGCTAACCGTCAATATCAAGCCAGGTCAGCAGGGAGCCAGGTACCTTGATCACAACACACATACAGAGTCGGGGGCTGTCCACTGAGATAAGCTGTGCCCTGGCTAGGGGGCGAGGGTGAGGGGAAACTCATAACCGCCCCCGCCCTTAAGGCCAAGTGCTGCTACAGATCAGTCAAGTTAAAGGATGGTTCTGGGGGATGGCGCTTTCATGAAGCTGAAGGTTAAAGCTAAGTGGGTGAGGGAGGTGGGGCTAAGCCCCCAAGGGAAAAGCTAGCCATTTCTCTCCCTCTTTCGCTCGCTTATAATTCTTTCCCACGCTGATGGGTAAGTGGATCCCCATCAGTGCAGCTTCTTTTTAGTTCTTAGGTGGGTGAGCTTTTGTGTCCTTGGGCTGGAGGTCATCTGAGAGGGGCCACAGCAGGCCTTCTTCAGTCTTCTTGTTAGTCCCCTTTAGGATAAGTGAATAAGGCATGGATAGCTACATGGCCCTCCTGACCCAGAAGCCCTTTCTAGCTAAGCCCATGGCATAGCACAGAGGTCTGACAAGGCTTGAGGATGCCCAGGCCTGTCCACGATCTCCCTGCCTGCCTGCCTCACGGGCAGCGCTGGTTCCTAACATCCTGCCGCGTGGTGGTAGTGGGGAGATGTGGAGTTATCTGGTTTTACCCCTCAGAAATCTGAGTATCTTAACTTTTACCTAAAGCACAATTAAAAAAAAAAAAGTGTGAGTATCTTCTGAACACCAAAGCCATGGACTGGTAAAACACCTACCCCATCATAGAACGAAATGGAATTCATGTGATTCTTGGAAATGATGATACTTCCATGATGACGGTGAAAAAACAGAAGGCCACTAGAGAAGAAATGCACTTTCCCTGGAAGGCAAAGAGAGCTGGTCAGAGGTGGAGGGCTAGATCCTGGGGTCCAAATCCCAATGTCCTTCTCACAGGTAGCAGGGCATGCCACAGGGGTAACTAGAGACCAGCATCAATAGTGCTTAAGCTACATGATTTTCTATGCTGGGCCCTGTGCTCTGAGGAAGCCAATGCACACCCCCCTCCCACCACCCCCCACCAGGGCTTCAGAGAGAAATGAGGCATCACACACAGTCTTTGCTTAAGAACTGGAAAAAGCAATGCATGAATAAACTGTCAGTTGATGAGAAGAGGCAAAATTCACACTCCCTTATAGGTGTCTTCAGGGAAACATGCTAAAAAAGGCTTGGGCATGACTGCTCCATTACTGAGTGTATAGATGCTCACTTCTCCTGCCTTGGCAGATGCTGGCTCAGCCCTAAAGAGACCACCTCCCTCATTAGGGCTCAAGAAGGGGCACTAAGGTCTCAGCAAAAGGACTGGTGAAGGGAGCCTACAGTCTCTCTGGAAGATAGAGACCAGCAAAGGTACATTTACATTAGGCAACAAGACGGTTCTACAGACACTAGGTGCCTGCTGTTACGAAGTGCATGAAAATAAAGTGGGTGGGAGGTAGACACTGGACATGGGCTCCTCAGGGCAAGAACTCAGTCCAACTAGAGCTTCTGTTTTTTGGTAGCCAAGGTTGTACAAGGCAACTTAGTATGGGCCCTAGGGAGCAAATCACAGAAAAGATGGACAGCTAAGATGACAAGGACTCAGGCTGGGCTCAGGCTTGCTTTGGGGACCAAAATGAAGCACTCAGAACCATAAGACCCCTGGGTGAAGTTGCTCTCTGGAGCTGGTCCAAGCTGGATTCTTCATGTCCCTGTTTCTTTTCATGTTTTCACATATAAAGAAGAGATAAAGTAGCCTGGGAACTCAAGGTACAGGCTTGAGAATGTTGTCATTAATGCCTTATTGCTAAGGCAAAGGACAGGAGACAAAGAAGCAGACTGATTCCTCAAGCTGTAGCTCTATGAAGGCAGCCCCAGAGCTCTAGAGATTGTAGTGACAGGAAGAGCAAAGGCAAGGAGTTTGAGGGCTGCCTTTTCATCGTGGGTGAGGAATCTGGAGACTGCAAGTTTTGCAGACTTTCTGAGGAGGTGGGGTTTCAGAAGAAAGGGAGTATGTATGCATGTTAATGGGGAGTGGGGAGGATTAGGGGAGGTGGAGGCCATTTCTAGATACAAGAAGGTTTGGAGTCTAAATATCAATGGAAGAACCAGATGTCCAGTCAGAGGCAACTAGTGCCAACCTCACCATCTAGGGTAGCAGCAGAGAGTGACCAGCCAGCCCAACCCAAGGCATCCAGGTTCAAGCCCTGTGAATCTTTTACCCCTCAACAAGTAAAGCCTGGCTTTCCCTGCACGCAGCTTTGCCCCGGGGTCCTCTTGAGAAGAGGCTACTCATGCCCCAGCCTCATTCTGTACCAACTGCAAGACTCCTCACTGCTGCTCCCACACCATTCCCCTTCACCCTGGCACAATCACACATCTAATGCCCTCCTGATCATGCCACAACATGCTGGATAACTTCTGAACATGTTTACAGTCTTCTCTTCCAGAGTCAACACTATCATTCCCTCTGAGAAAGCAGGGGGAAGGCCCGTCCATACTCTGTCCTCACTTCTCTTCAATCCCAACTCTGCTGCAGTAAAGCAGCTCCCAGAGTGTCTTTACATCTGAAAGCTTCAGCTGTATAACCTACTTTTTGACTACAGTATCTGTTGTGGATTGAATTGTGTCCCCCCAAAATATCTGTCAACTTGGCTGGGCCATGATTCTCAGTATTTTGTGATTGTCTACCATTTTGTCATCTGATGTGATTTTCCTATTTGTACATTCTATCTCTATGTTGATGAGATGGGATTATCGGCAGTTACGTTACTGAGGCAAGACTCAATCTACAAGATTGGATTGCATCTTGAGCCAATCTCTTCTGAGACATAAAAGAAAGAAGTGAGCAAAGAGACAGAGGGACCTCATACCACCAAGAAATAGCACCAGAAGCAGAGCTCGTCCTTTGGACCCGGGGTCCCTGCACTGAGAAGCTCCTTGACCAGGGAAGATGGATGACAAGGACTTTCTCCTACAGCCAACAGAGAGAGAAAGCGTTCCCCTGGAGCTGGCACCCTGAATTCGGATTTCTAGACTCCTAGAGTGTGAGACAATAAATTTCCCTTTGCTAAAGCCATCCACTTGCTGTATTTCTGTTGTAGCACATTAGATAACCAAGACAGCATCCCACCATCCTTTTAGCTATCTCACTCCCCATACCCAGTCCTCTGATGTCACTGAGTTTTTGAAACCTTGGCCTTCCATTCTCCCCTATTGATAAAAAATTTCTGGCTTTCTTCTCATCCACATCTAGTGCAGATCCCCTAGGATATCTTTTTAATTTCTGTTTTGTCAAAGGGACAGGAACAGATTTTATTTAGTATTTACTAAGCACCAAGAATGTCACATATATCATGGTTTTCCATCCTCACAACACTCCTTAGAGGTGGTATTATTCTTATAGAACTGCTGAGGAAACTTGAGCTTAGAGAGGTATCCTCCAAAGTCACACAGCTACTTGGTGGTGGAGCCAGGTGTAGGACCCAGATTTGTCTGATGCCAAAGATGCTGTACCTTGCTGGCCCCCCTTGGTTGTCTTGTCCCTTTTTCTTTCACTTTATCCTCTGTGGGTAATGTGACACTGTGCCTTCTCTGCTCCTCAACCTCAACAGGTCTGCAGTGCTGCCCAGCAGTCCTTCCACTGCTGCCTCTCAACTCCTTCTACCCTGGTGCCCTTATTGGATAAGCTCTGCCCTTCCTTCTCTATTCTGTGAGTCTGAACACCCAGGGTAAGAGGAAGTTCCCTATAACTACCCAAGAAGCAGCAGGGGCTTGTAGCACGGCCCTGTCTTTGATCGACCTCTCTGTCCCAGGAAGTGCAACTGGAGAGGGATGAACCCTCAGGGCAAAACAAGATGTCAAGTATCAATGAAGAATGTGGCTTTTCCTCCCTCAGACAACCAGCTGCACAAATAGAAATCCTCCAACTGTCCAGCCTGAGTGAACCGGGAGCATTAATCACTGCTGGGGAAATGTTATGATCCAATCATTCTGCGTGCATGAATGTGTATGGAACGTACACATGAAAGTGTGTGAAATGTATAAAGAAACAAAACAAAACAACAACAAAACCCAGACACTTGTGCACTCACCACCCAGCCTAAGAAATCAAGCATCATTAGCACCCTTGAAGCACCCATTCCTTTCTCTTCCACCAAGAGGGAACGAACATCCTGGATTTTGTACAGTTTTACCACAGTTGTATGTATATGTAAAGTATATATTATTTAGTTTTGTCTGTTTTTAATTTTATATAAATGGAATCCTAATACTCCATTCTTGTATGGACTGCTTTTTTCTCTCAACATCTGTTCTTGAGAGGTATCCATGTTGTAGGTAATATACAGCTGTATAATTCATTCATGTTCATTGCTATACAGAGCTTTCTTTTTTAAAGTGTCTCTCAATAGCTTCACATGGACACAAAGGAACACAGGAGAGGGTACAGAATGGAGGCAGAAGACAGTGGATGACCACTGCCTGGGTTCTTCCATCTCTGGGAGGTGAAAGTCAGGTTGGTCACCAGAGTCCTCAGGATGTGTCCACTGCCCACGTGTCAATGAGTCCCGTATCCCTGCTCTTCACTGCACAACAATCTCTGCTGAATGGAAAAAGCACTCTAGAATCTGTAAGTCACTACAGGGAGAATGAAGGGCTGCCCGGGTGCCAACTATTCACTGAGGCCTGTAGGAAACAGCAAGAGCAAGGACTGAACTGACCTGACCTTGAAACAGTCTGGTCCATGCCAGGTCGTTATGGCAAGGCTGAGGCCAAGCTATGGACTCTCCTCAATCAAACAAAACAAGAGTAAACAGATTTCTAGACAGGTTTATGAGACAACTATAGCATACAAATGCAATAAAGTTGTGGCTTGGAGCACTGACAGTGGAGTCAGGAGTCTGCTGTCTTAAATTCCATCTCCTCTACTTACTAGCTGTATGACTTCAGGTCAATCACCCAACTGCTCTGTGCCTCAATTAACTCCTTTGTAAATGGGGATAATAACAGTACTTTCTAATATAGTTAACGAGGATAAAACAAGACAATGCATCTAAATAGCACAGAACAGTGTCTGGTATATAGAAAATACCATATGATGTTGCCTATTATTATTATCATTACCTGGGTGACCTAAAAAACTCACCCACAGAATTAAATTTAGAAGAATTCTAGGTTGGTAGTGCCCCCAGATGTCTGGCAACTGAAAATATAAATCCTTGCTGGAGAAAACTAACTTCAATGCAGACATAACAGAATTTCACAAATAAAGCTCCAAAGTATATGTCACAAACCGTAAAGTACTCAAGCAAAGAAAGCACTATTAGTGAGATCCAGCAGCAACCACCAAAAGCAAGATCAGATACAGAAAAACAAACTCACTGGAATTATCAGAAGAAACTAAAAACATGATTAAGGTGTAAGAAACAAACAAACAAAAAGCCCAAATAGATTTAGGAAAAAAATCAAATGGAAATAACAGAAAAGAAGAACAGTGCAGTGTGATGGATTGCTTTTGTGTGGCCTTTCTAGCAGTGGTCTTGTAACGCCCACCCAGGTGATTTGGTGAGACTGTGCAGATATGGTAATTGTGGCCCACCAAAGGGATTGGTTAGTGTTGCCATCCCGCTGGGCTTCAAATAAGTCATCCCAGAAGCAGGAAAGAGAAGATTCCACCACCACCAAGGAAGAAGAGCCAGGAGCAGAGAGCCCGTCGAGAAGCTCCTGGAACCAGGAGGCTGAGACAGAGAGTGGGCTGTAACCTTGAAGATGGCGAGACCTGGCAGCAGAGACCTGGCAGCAGGAGATGTGAGGTGGGCTTCCCAGCCCACAGACAGAGAAAGC